TTCAACATTTCAATTTCAGCTTTTAAAATGTAACGGTTATTAATGTCATCATAAGATTTAAAATTTGATTTATATTCCATTCCACTAAGTTTTACGACGTAAATGTCAAAACTAGAAGACTGTATTATTAAAAATTAACGTAATTTTAAAAAACTTGCAAAATAAAATGCCTGCAACTGTAGTTGTTTTGCAAAAAAAAAATGTATTTATACTAAAACACTCGACAGTTTTTTTCTGTTTTTTTTTAAAGACAAACATAGTAATAGTACTTTGTTTTATACACCAGTTATAGATAAAAAAAAACAAAACAAGGCGTAAAAAAAAAACGATTACTGTAAACTATTTTAAATTTGTAAGTTACTTCCGGTCCACCTTAAGCTCAAGTGAAACATTATAGTTACGCAATGTAATAAACAAGAGGACTAAATCCAACGTGTACCCAACCCGTCTAAAAAAGAGGAAAAAGAGGAAACTCCAAAAAGAGGAAACTTGTCGTTCCAAAGATCACGAACTACTTCGGTAAACGAACAAAAAGTTATATGGTACCGTTTCTACTCAATGAATTGCCTTATCAATATCAAATATCAATTTAAAAATAAACTCCACAAACATTATCTCTCGTTATGTCCATAACTAATAGCTAATAAGCGCATTGCCTTTTCATTACTTTTAAAACATAGTCCACTAGTGTACTTGACTCAATAATTTGAAATGTTAACAATTTTTGTATTGAAATACCTAAATTTAAATAATTAAGTGTCCTTAAACGAGAACTTCTGACAACAAACTGTTTTTACAGTTTGGCAGACTTTAAGTATGAAAAATATGTATTATACATGTTTAATAAAGAGAAAAAAAAGTTATTAAATTAAAGTAAAAAAACTTACACCTAGAAACAGATTTGTACAATTGGCGTTCTTATCGCACAAGGCGATATCTTACAAGCATGCTGTCATTATCATAATGAACAAAAATGCACTTATTTGACTCAAATTACAGGATGATATATATATACATATATTTCGTAGTTAACACGCTCACGATAGCGTTAAGACATACCTCTGAATTGTCTGACATTTCGACCAGGTTACACAGACAGTGATAACAGGCCGACTCGAGTAGTCAGTCTGTGAACACGGCTATTATTAAAATAAAATTACACAGGAGTACTCTCACTTCTGTATCATTTTCTTATTTTCCCTGATAATGTAGCTTTCCATTAGTAAAAGAATTTTATTTAAATGGTATAGTGGTTTAGGCGTGAACGCGTACCAAACAAACTCACTTTCATATCTATACAAATAAATAAAATTGGTGTGTCTGTTTGTAATATTAAAATAACCGCTTTTTACTAAATGCATATGTATGTTTACACGGTACATATGCCAAAATAACATTTTTTACTATTTTTGTCTGTCTGTCTGTTTGTTCTGGGTAATCTCTGGAACGGCTGGACCGATTTCGACGGGACTTTCACTGGCAGATAGCTGATGACATAAGGAGTAACTTAGGCTACTTTTTTTAGACTAGTTTCGCCCGACGGCGTTGCCCGCGGATAACAACAAACGCGGGTAACACCGCGGGTCTCAGCTAGTTTATAATATAAGTATAGTTTTGCAACCCTCAATATCGTGATAATCCCGTGATACCGGAATTATCTGAATATAATCGGGATCTCTCTCTATCTCCGGGATCAAAAACAAAAGCCGAGACCAAAATCCCTAGTCATCACATCTACTTATAAAACATAATATCAAATTTATATCCTATTTTTATACCACTAAGGTGGTAAAAAGTCGTACCATCTATATACTACATAGAAATTATCTGCACATATGACACTTAAAATTATGAAGGTATCAGTCATTCTAGGTTATACCTTCAGTAGTCGATTATAAACCTCTAAAGGTCAATACTACAGTGGAACATATAATGTTCTGGGTATATCTACTTAGGTCATACTTAGAGTTTCTGGATTATTATTTATCGGAATCCAGAGACTTAAGATTCCTTTAATGTTTTTCAAAGTATATTCCCTTGCAATCAATGCATTTTTGCATACACTGAAACCACTGTAAGTTGGACCAGTCTCGTAAAACGTGTGCCTCTAAGTTTGTCTTTAATTTTTGGAAACAAAAGTAGGTGCAGGGTGCGAGTTCCGGGCTGTAAGGCGGATGCATCATCAGTTCCACATTTGAAGCCTTCGAATAGGCTTCTGCTAGCTTACTGGAATGTGAGGATGCGATGGAGTGTTATCGTAATGAAGGAGGACATTGCTTCGAAGACGCTTTTCGCGATTTTTTAAGACTCTAGGCATCCAAGTGTTGACGTACCAATCTGCAGTGCAGTGACTATCCTTTTATCTTCAAGTAATGTCCTGATTTGCCGAAAAAATAAGCAACCGTTTTTTTAACAATGGTTCGAATTTTCTTAACTTTAAAAGAAAATACCAACTCTGGCGACTGGGTTTTTTGGTTCAAAGCAGTACACGAAACGAAACCCATTTCGTCACCTGTCAAGATATTATAGACAGCCAATGACTGTCCTCCGTTAAACTTTTTATCATTTTACGGCACCACTGGACACGCAGTCCTTTCTGGTCCTTCGTAAAATCATGCGGTATCCATTGAGTGCAAAGCTTCCGAACCTTCAGATGTACATGTTAAATGTTTTGCACTAGGCTCATTCCAATGCATAACAAAGCACGAATTTGTTGGAAAGTTATTTTTTTATCAGTTGCAATAAGTTGTAACCGCAGTCGCCGGCCGACCTTCACGTACCTCGTCATAGAGATGATCACGTCTACGTCAAAATTGTCTAAATCACGAATACACAGAGCTACGACATGGTTCTTCATCACCAAATGCCAATTGAAGTGTTGACTGCACGGATGGCTTAGTGGTTTAAGCGGTCGCCACGCTGCTTCCTACTATGCCGAGTGTTGTGGGTTCAAATCCCATATGGGACGACACTTTGTGTGATCCACAAATAGTTGTTCTGAGTCTGGGTGTTCTTTGTGTCCGTTTCATGTATGTTTGTAAAGTCCCCCGCGACACAGGAATATATTCCTAATGCGGGAGTTGTGTTTTAAATAAAAATAAAAAAAAAGTCTCTGGCAACTCTCTTGTTGACTTAAGTTATAAAAAATAATTAAACGAAAATGTTCACGAGTTAAATTCATTTTGACAGCGACACACAATTTTCGAAAAGATGTCAATAAAAAAACAAATGACAGTCTCGCAAATTAAAAAATAACATGTTTCCACAGAATTCCATTTTCGAATTACATAATTGTTTTTTCATTCTTTTATTATAAGTGGCGAGATCCAGAGACATTCAGTATGTCCCACGTGTATCTTCAATTGTCTGCACGAATGGCGTAGTGGTTTAAGCGGTCATCTCGCCTTCCTACTGTTCCTTGTATTACGGGTTCGATCTCCATAAGGGAGAACGCTTTGTGAGATTCACAAATTATTGTTCTAAGTCCGGGTCATCATCATCATCATCACCAACAGCCTTTAATAGTCCACTGCTGGACATAGGCCTCTCCTTAGAAAGGAGGTTTTGGCCTACTATACCACGCTGGCCAGACGGGTTGGTATAGGGTTTGTATCAAGTTTTCCTTCTTTTTGCAGTGCTGGTGTCCTGAGTTGTTTTGCGCCCTTAGTCGCCTCTTACGACACCCACGGGATGAATTGGGGTAGTGACATTCCGTATTCTTAATCCGTCACTACACGGACAATAAGTCCGGGTGTTCTTTGTGTAAGTAACATGTAGATTTTGGCCTACTATACTATGTTCTCTTAGGCAGCTCTTACGACACTCACGGTATGAATAGGGGTGGTGACCCTCCGTATTCTTAATCCGAGACCACATGGACACCGGACCGGACGGATTTTTACTAACTTTTCAATTAAACTGTTTTAATATATAACGATAATATTATGCATGTATCCTGAAATTTGAATGTAATTTTTCAAAAGAGTTTACTGTGTTTAAATAATAATATATAAAAACCATATATCTCAAAATAACTTTTTTTGTTCAGATCCAGGTAGATCCGACGGTAAATAATATTTTGTCTGTTCAAATGTCAATAATTTACAAAAATAACGTAGTAAAAAGCATTTTGTATGTTTAACTACTTTTTCTGTGAACGTTTCTACAAAAAATCTAATTTCGACTAATACATCAAAATTAAACTCAGTTACACGGTTTAAATAGAAGGTATCACATAATTTTCATTGTATTTTACAATACTTTGTAGAATTAGAGTCATTTAATATGTTATTCTTTGGATCATTAGAAATACCGTCTATTTCCTTGGTCATGCATAAACCACCGAACCAAATAAGGTATTATTCATATTCATAAAACATATTTTTCAGAAAGGGGTTAGGTAAATCCCGACCCGCCATAGATATATAATTTTATGACCCCAGGGAGTTAGAAGAGGAAAAATCCGCAAACAACCGCAACCACGGACAAATAATTTAATAAAAATACCGCATCGTACTCATAGTATTATTTACCGGTACCACCTGGGCCCGAGGGTTCCATTCTAGCAACAAGCACTTAAAAAACGGAGAAAAAAGCATTTAAAACATTAAAAACGTCAATAATTCAAGTTAAACATTTTACGATGTCGAAACTCTAAATAGCCGCCATGACACTTATTTTCCCGCGTACATATTTAATGGCGTCGACAGGTGTCAGATATGCGCAAGGTTTGTTTTATTATTTCTAATGAATAGTTCTTTCAACCCACAAATACGTGGAGGGTGTCGAAACTCCATAATGGAATCTTAAAACGAATATGAACATTCAAATTTTACATATCAATCACAAACACACTCACACAAACGGAGAAATTTATACGAACACATTTATTACACACAATAGCAATGCGCATTCGTGATTGCTACAAGTTTGTAGGTACAACTTTCCCTTATTAATACGATCGATAAAATACTGTTTGGATATTTTTTAATTTGAAGTACTTACCCCAAGGTCGTCATAGTCACGATGGTGTACCAGAAGGCGGCCGGGATAGAAGTGAAGTTTGTATCCTGCTCGTTTTTCTCAGCGTAAAACATAACAGTGGCGAATATAATAATCGCCATAGCCAATGAAAAGACCAGGAAACCGAGTTCACTGGCACAAGACTTGAGCGTGTAACCCAAGATTCTCAACCCCTGAGAGTGCCTGGAGAATTTAAATATTCGGAACACTCTGAACACTCTCAGAGTAACGAATGCTCCAGATACATCGTCATTGTCAGTGATACCTAAACCGATGTAGTATGGTAAAATAGCCACTACGTCAATAATCGACATTACGGATCTGACAAACTTGCAGCGATCCGGCGCTGCAAAGAGTCGCAGTAAATATTCTGCTGTGAATATCATCACACACGCAGTGTCCAAGCAGAAGAACACGATTTTGTATCGCTCGCCGCATGGCAGCGTACCGGCGCGTCCAGGCCGGTGGCCACACGGCACTGTCTCCACCACGTTCGCCATCACCGACACGGCGATGAAGAACCCAGTAACATAATAGAACACTAGAGCTGCAGTCGAAGTGTGCGGGTTCTCGAACGCCCGCCACATTTTTTGTCTCAAATCTGTAAGCTGAGGTAGACTCTGATCTCCAGCTTCACTTAATTTATCATCCATAAGTCGTTCTGCGTTTTCACGCTTTCTGTCCCTGTAATCCTCATAACAACAGTCTCCTATCACGTCAGGAAGGATCCCAAAGAAAGCCAACTCCTCGTCGTATCCCGTCAAACATTCGTGCTTGGGATAATGTAATTTTCCTGTTCTGTAATAATTTAATATGTGTCGGAAAATATCTGGATCTCTGTCGAAGAAGTACTCTCTGCTTTCCTCGTCGTAAAAGAATTCTCTTTCGGTAGATCCGAGGAGTGAGTCGGGGTATTTCTCTAGCGTGTTTCGCCATGTCTCGAATCGTCGTCCGGAGACGTTGATGAGAAGTTTCTCGTCCTCGGCGCGACGGCGGTCTTTCGGGACTGGTGGGGGCGGGAGTGGGTGAGTAGCGATGGGAACCCATCCTATGGCGGCTGCTCGGGCGAACGGCAGCCAAGCGGCGACAGACGCCATGGCGCGGGCGGCGTGAGCGGCACCGCCGCGACAACTGATGTCCCCCCTCGGGCCACTATTTCGGGCCGCCCAGATGAGCGCGGGGTTGCCACTAGCGATCTTTAATTATGAATATTTTATATTGTTTTGTGATCTATTTTAGTGCGTGTTTAGTCTCACATTGTCTTTGTTTACGTTGTATGAATGCATCTAATGCACTGAACTTTAAGATTACATGTTAATTATTTTGGCGTTAGGTAATAAAATTTTAGTGATTAATTTAACTTACAAATAACTTGTAAATGAGTATTAATATAACGCCTTTCTAAGCATATGAAAACAAAATCCTTTTTATTATAGTACTAAAACAGTCGGTAATTTAGAAGACCAAATTTAAATGTAATTACGCTCAAAAAATGCAATTTTATTTTCACAGTTAAAATAGAAAAAAAAACACATATCGAGCCAAAATAACAATGACAAACAAAAGAAAATTTAATTTTAAAAAAAATATGTGTATACTTCGATATTTGAGCAAGAATTTTACCACAAAAGTTGGTAAAATCTCCAACCGTTAGCCACCCTCTCCCGGGAGCATCACCAATGCGCTTGCGTGAACCGTGACGTCACTGCCTAATAAATTGATTTTCAGCTAGCCATCTCCTTCTTATTTGCAACGCCACACATAGTGCCGTCACTCTCACACACTTTAAGCTCTGGTGACCTTTTGTATATTTTTCAGTGGTCCGAAGAGTTTTGTCAAAGGCTTTTGTCTTCAGCACCTGAAAAGCTCTGAATTTAGCTGTGGGCTAGTTCTTTGACACGACATCTTAGAGGCGAGGTTGTTAGCCGTCACGCGTCACGGCTTGGAAAGCGATGGGTGGGTGGAGATAAACGTCTGACCCCGGGAGCAGCAGGCTGTTGCAGTAGCCTATATTTTGTAACCTTCGCCTATTTATAGTATGTCCTTGGATTTTAAACCAATAGACAAAGAACACGACTTTTATATTAAGACAGTTATAAGTTTTATTATTTTTATAATTACTAGCATTTTCCTGTGGTTTTGCTTGCGTAAAAGTAATTTTCCATTTCTTTAAAACCTTTTTTAAGATAAAAAATACCCTACCCTGGCAATATATATGCAAAATTTCATGAAGTGTGAACAATTGGTACTTCAACAAATAAAATACGAACAATCAATCATTTATTTTCATGTATTTATTGAGTCTTCGTCGTGTATTTTCATGTATTTATTGGTTTTGGGTATGGGCTACGGGGTATGGGATAGAACCTACCGCTCTAGAATTGGCTTACATAGCCATGAAACAAGGTGGTTGCCTAGGGGACAGTGATTAAATCGTCTGGAATAGACGCAAGAGGCCAATGATGATGATGATAGAGTCTTCAAAATATAAAACTAATGTATCTGATTATTTATAAAATTGAATAGAATAATAATAATAACCATGGTTTAGTTGCTAATAGCCTCGACCATCATCTTCAGAAGCTCGCGTTAGGCAGTTGGATTAAGGGTCTGATGCAGAAAGCAGTTCTTCTCGATACGGCACGTATTGTGAGGAAGTTTATGTCTCTGGAGTCCTAACCACCGATATCTTGGTCCCTGTACCCGATACCGATGGGACACTATTTTTTATATTTTTAAATGTTTTTTTGTATATAAATGTATTTAAAAATGTGATTTATATGTTTATTTAATGAAATAAAGAGAATATTAATAATAACCTCACACATCTCAAACACAGCTGGCTGATCCCAAACTAGGCAGAGCCTGTGTAATGGTAACCAGACTGCTGATTAACATACTCATATATTTCTAAATACATACATGTTATGGATAAATTACACCCAGACACAGAACAAACGATCGTGTTCATCACACAAATAATTGTTCTGGATGGGGATCGAACCCACGACCTCCGGTTTAGCAGTCAGGGTCACTAACCACTAGACCAACAGGCCCGTCCCACCAGAATGTGATATGATAATAGTTTAAATGCCCAATTGTAATATTTCTGAACATTTTGTTATTAATACTTAATTTACTAATTACATGCCTAATATAGGCAGAATATGGCTCGAATATAAACCACTGTTAAATCTGGTACCACCTTTTTTTTTTTTTTTTTTTCCCGTGCGGAAATCCCCTCGGACACCACCGGTGGCATGTCGGACTCGAACCGACTAAAACCGCACGCCGTCGCCGGGTACTAATAGCCGGGGAACCAGGTATACCCTAGAAAGGAAGTCCCTGGTGCCCCGACATACCGTGTTCTGTTCTTTCTCCTGATTCAATAACAACATGTGTATATATAACTAGCTGACCCGCGCAACTTCGTCTGCGTCTTTCAATAGTAATAAATTTTCTCCGTTTTTGAAACATTCTTCATTGGTGCTCTACTCCTATTGGTCTTAGCGTAATGATATATAGCCTATAGCCTTCCTCGATAAATGGGCTATCTAACACTGAAAGAATTTTTCAAATCGGACTAGTAGTTCCTGAGATTAGCGCGTTCAAACAAACAAACAAACTCTTCAGCTTTATAATATTAGTAAAGATTATAGTTTTGTGTAAAAAATTCAATACAATCGGTCAAGAACGTTTGTGGATTTGCAATTATAAACAGACAGTGGATAGTTGGCGCTACACTACTGTGCGCTTTTAGAGACACTTTTTACCCCGCACAACCAATCTGTGGAACGGGTTATCGTCTGCGGTATTTCAGGATAGATACGACCTTCAAAACTTCAAGAAAAGAGCGTACTTCTTCGTAAAAGGGCGGCAACGCGTTTGTGACTCCTGAGTTGCAGACGTTCATGGGCGGCGATGGTCACTTTCCATCAGGTGACCCGTGTGCTCGTCTGCCCACTCTAACATAAAAAACATACGTTTAGTTTTATTTTTTATTTATTTTTATTTACAACTCCCGCATCAGGACAATATCCAATGTCGCGGGGGACTTTACAAACAAACATGAAACGGACACAAAGAACACCCAGACCAGATCAACAATTTGTGGATCACACAAAGTGTCGTCCCATGTGGGTTTTGAACCCACAACACTCGGCGTAGTAGGAAGCGGCGCGGCGACCGCTTAAACCACTACGCCATCCGTGCAGTCAAAGCCTTCTATATACTTATTTCTACTATATACTTATATTTATATATACCTATTTCTAGAACCTTATTTGAAATCAGCAGATGGTAAAAAATACACCTCATTATTAATACAAGTACCTATAAACCGTCACAGTCATACAATAGTGTCGGATATGACATTTATTGAACTTTACAGGGCAGCCATTTCAAATAATTGATAATAATAATTAATCTAAAAATAGGGTTTTTATTCAAATGCAAGAAAACAATTAATAATTATACAATTTTCTAGAAAAATCACATGCTTCATTTTACTTTGAGCACCTGTCAAACAAACACTGAATAATTTAAAATCTAAAATCAGTTTTTTTTTAAATGTATTTTTAATATTTAGACAATGTAGTATCCAAATATGGTAGAAACTGCAATTCGTATTTTTTTCAAAACCGACATTATACTCAATACTTTCACATCACACATCAACAGCCTTTAATAGTCCACTGCCAGGTTACCGCTTAGGATACTGGTATCCTCGTTTCTCCTTCTCTTTTATGTCCACAATCTAGACATTCCATCAACCGTTTATGTAAGGTGTCCTTTATGTAAGTTTATGTAAGTCTTTGTGTTTATGTAAGGTGACGGATTAAGATCACGTCGGGTCACCATCCCTATTCATCCCGTGGGTGTCGTAAGAGCAGAATCAGAGAGGAAACTCCGCAAATCAACAGCACTGCAAAGAGAAGGAAAACTTGAAACAAACCCTATATGTGATTTCTGATTGTATTTTTAAGAACTTTGTACGATATTCATGCAAATAAATTTATTTGATTTGATCTTTCCAACGTCTTTTAATATTAGCTGTAAAAGTTTAAAAAGTTTCCTCAAACTGCTAGCGATATACGTCAGTCAAGGGCTGAACAATACGACCCAATTTTCTGTAACAGCCTGTATCAAAGCTACTTTTGGGAGTCTTACCCACAAACCACTTTATCCTCAAGTTATTCTAGTCCCCGCGCATTATACATACGGAACCGCTCAATGTAATGTCGACCTTAAGTGCATTGTGCAATAAAACTAAGTAATAAAAGCTACATTATAAGTAAGATTGATTTAATCGCCTGCAGTAAAAGAATGTAGTGTGTTATTGATTTTTCTTTAATAATAGAATATCACACATCTCACACACGGCCGTCTGATTCCAAACTAGGCAGAGCCTGTGCTATGGTAACCAGACTGCTGATAAACATATGGGGTCTACCAATAAGAACGTCCTGGTTTAAAAATTGAATAAAACACACAATTTTTTATGAAAAATGCATCCGATTGATTTATTTGATAGATAATTTTATGCAATTTATGTTTTAAATAATATATCGGCAAAATATCCGGTTAAAATCGAGTTATAGCGCTCGCTATTCACAGTAACAGGGTTTCCTTCGTCACTTTCGTAAAAATTTTGGACAATTTCCAAGCGTTGGTTTAAAGTGAAATGTGACATGATAAAATGGCAAACCTTACTGAACACAAATGTCAAGAGACGTCAAAGATCCATCATCAAACATGGCCGCTATGAGCTGTCAAAACCAGGTCATCCCTAATATTTCCCTAATATTCTTATCTATATGTATATATCCTTCCTAATATTCCCTATATATTTCTAAATACATACACATTATATGTAGATAAATTACACCCAAACACAGAACAAATCATCGTGCTCACATCACACATCATGACATCAACAGCCTATACTAGTCCACTGCTGGACATAGGCCTCTCCTTAGAAAGGAGGTTTTGGCCTACTATACCACGCTGGCCAGACGGGTTGGTATAGGGTTTGTTTCAAGTTTTCCTTCTCTTTGCAGTGCTGTTGTCCTGCTTAGTTTGCTCCCTTAGTCGGCTCTTACGACACCCACAGGATGAATTGGGGTGGTGACAATTTGTATTCTTAATCCGTCATCACACAATTATTTGTCCTAGGTGGGAATCTAACCTGCGACCTCCGGCTTAGCAGTCAGGGTAACTTTCCACTTTACCAACAGATCCGTTGTAATGGGCCTATAATAGTAGGCCAAAATCTTCTTCCGGAGGAGAGGCCTATGTCCAGCAGTACACTATTAAAGGCTGTTGATGTCAATTGGGGGACAAAGCAGACGGGTTATCTGATGGTAAGTGATTAAGCCCGTAATTTTTTGCAGCCTGTGTTCTGTGTAGAACATTGAGATAGTACAATTTCTCTTTCGTGGGTAGTCACTTTCTATCGGTTCTTTCTAAAAACTCGCTTTCTATAGAAAACCAAACTAAAAAATTTAAAATAAATAAATAAATTTGAAAAAAAGCGTTGGGTGCCTGTTGTCAATACTAACAAGCACCCCACGCTTTTTTTCAAATTTATTTATTTATTTTAAATTTTTTAGTTTGGTTTTCTATAGAAAGCGAGTTTTTTTAGTTTTCTTTAACTATAATTTTTATCTGAAGATTATTACATTGACTATTTTTGCAGTCTAGTACAATGTCTAATTATTATTTAAGCCAATATAATATTTTCACAATGTTTTTCATTCAAATCAAATCAAATCAAATCATTTTTATTTGCATAAAACAGGTATAAAGGCGGTTTGTGTTGATTTCTCTATCCTGCTCTAACAGTCTTTGGCACTTTCTGTAAAAAATATCCTTATGCTACTGTAGCGCCCCCAATTCACATTATTCATACTCAGAGATGGTTCTCCTACCCTCCATAAGTCATATGTGGAAATGGTCACAAACAAAAAAATAGTGTGAAAGCACACTTCACTCCGTCTACAACATACATGTTCACATCGTAGTTTTTCTTCACAACCTCTATTTTCAGCATACAACTGCAAACTTTTTCAGCTTTCCCCCTATAAGAGATTGTTCTCCCTGCCTCTATCTCCCATAATATGCCTACAAAAATTGATACAGCGTCATCCAGTGAAATAAGTAAATAAATTCAATCTGTATAGTGAAGTTTTTTTAGTCGTAGTCGTTCTTCGTATAAGAATTACGTACAAATACTTTTTTTAGGTGTGGTGACGGATTAAGAATACAGAGTGTCACCACCCCTATTCATCCCGTGGGTGTCGTAAGAGCCGACTAAGGGAGAAATCTATACGCAGAACAACAGCACTGCAGAGAGAAGGAAAACTTGACACAAGCCCTATACCAACCCGTCTGGCCAGCGTGGTATAGTAAGCCAAAACCTCCTTTCTAAGGAGAGACCTATGTCCAACAGTGAACTATTAAAGGATGTAAAGGATGTATTAAGGATGTAAAATCTGGCTAGGTTAGGTTAGGATAGAAGTGAAAAGCCTGAAAAATTATCTCTCTTTTTTGAAATTCTGACATTTACCTACACACATTGGTATGTACTAAGATTTTAAGATTTACTAGTACAACCTAAGATATAGAAATAAACGAGTATTTTACAGTAGCATACATAAATCCAACTTCGTGAACTCTTCGTTCTTTGTTCAAGCAGTACTACTATGGAATGCGCTCCCGCTCGAAATCAGGATGTCCACTAACCGTTTTGTATTCAAAAAGAAGGTGCATGATCTCCTTCTTAATAAAATGGCAGAACTACCCAGTCCATAGTACACCTCACATTCCGGTATACATAGTGTACGAATATAACATGTATATTTATAGAGATATTTATATATATATATATATATAAATGTATGTGTATGATGTGATGTGTTGTATATGTGTATGTATATGTATGTAGTGAACCGTGTATATTTCTATATATTACATGTCATAATATGTAATCTCTGTGCACCTATCTTATATGATTTCTACACCACCCAAAGGTTGACTGGAAGAGAATGCCTTGGGCATTAAGTCCGCCGATGTACAAAAGTGCATAAAGTTTGAAATAAATAAATGTGTAGAACTGT